TACACATCCCTGTCTAAGCCTACTTTTACCGGGAAGTAGTGTCCCTCTCTTCTACACACCCTAACCTGAGAATCACTATCCTCATAAAAACTCTTTACAGCATTTAGTAACTTACCACCTATTCCATATACTTGCAACATCTGCCACATTGCTCCTCTATCCACTCTATCATATGCCTTTTCTAAATCCATAAATGCAATAAAAACTTCCCTACCTTTATCTAAATACTGTTCACATATATGCTTCAATGTAAACACTTGATCTACACATCCCCTACCCACTCTGAAACCTCCTTGCTCATCCGCAATCCTACATTCTGTCTTACCTCTAATTCGTTCAATGTTACAAAAAACGCGATTCTAAAAGCTTAGAGATCTCCAGTGAATACTAGAAAGGACTGCCCTTCTAGCATCCAGCCTGTTACTGGATTTTCGTAACAAGTAGTCAGTATCCTTGTCCAATTATCCATTAAAATTCAGTATTATTCAGTAGTGCTTCAGGATTCCAACTGGTAGGCTACTAACTAGAGAAATTAAAATTTAATAAATTTATTAAGTCTAGAGGTATATTATCAAATTAAATTAATCACAGCAATCAAAATAAAATCAATCTCTCGAGTTCAATATTATTGTGCTGAAAGCACATATCACATTTATAATTCTTAAGTACCGTCTGGTACATTAACATTTAATAAGATATTACAAATATGTACAAGTAAGTTTGTGTATACGTGTAAGTGCTCTAAGTAGTTCACTATGTCTCACGACTCGACTAGACTTAAACAAGTGACTGACAAAGTCCTCAAATAAACTAACTTCTTGACCGACTGGCAACAAGAACAGTCTGCTTGAACAATGAAAAGAATGCTATGCCCAATAGCCATATAACAAGCGACTGCGACACAATCAGGATAAAGGAGATAATATAACGACAATAAGTAGGGACCATCAGCAGATCCTCCACAAAAGTTACAAAACTCCCATACTACTGAAACTAAGTTCAGCATAGGAAAAACCCGACTGTGACAATACACAGAAACCAGTACAAAATTAGGTCAGAAGCTATAGCTAAGGACCTGAGATGTTCAGAGTGTCTAAGCGACACACAACCTCAGTACAACGTCGAAAATCACTAAGTCTATACAATGTTCTGTGAACAGAGTTCTACAGAACTAACAAGAATAATGAGACAGACAATCTGTCCAACCACCAAGCGAGTCTAGAGCAGACTGAATACTTCACGAGAGGTGAGGACACCCCCCCCCCCTCTCGATCACGTGATAGCCCCGTGGACAGCACAGCTCAGAAGCCGGCAGTATAACGAGCGACAAGCGATAATTACAGTAGTTTGACAATCAAGACTTGAACTGAGCACATATTATGTAACATCCTAACAACATAAGTCAAATAAGAATATAAAGCAGTATATTTACGATTTAGCTATTATCGCAAATATAAGCAATATAAAATTATTTGAAAAGATAATATACATCATATATATACATAATAATCATTGCAACCCATTCAGCGGTTGCAAAATTCAATAATAACCCTACCGTACATTTTTCCTGGTATACTCAATAAACTTATTCCTCTATAATTTTTACAATCTCTTTTGTCCCCCTTCCCTTTATATAAAGGGACTATACATGCTCTCCACCAATCCCTAGGTACCTTCCCCTCTTTCATACATTTATTAAACAAAAATACCAACTACTCCAACACTATATCCCCCCCTGCTTTTAACATTTCTGTCATGATCCCATCAGTTCCAGCTGCTTTACCCCCTTTCATTCTATGTAATGCCTCACGTACCTCCCCCACATTTACATTCTGCTCTTCTTCACTCCTAAAAGATGGTATAACTCCCTGGCCAGTGCATGAAATTACCGCCTCCCTTTCTTCCTCAACATATAAAAGTTCCTCAAAATATTCTCGCCATCTATCTAATACCTCCATCTCCCCACCTACTAACTCCCCTACTCTGTTTATAACTGACAAATCCATACGTTCCCTAGGCTTTCTTAACTTGTTTAACTCCAACATTTTTTCTTATTTTCATTAAATTTTCTTGACAGTGCCTCTCCCACTCTATCATCTGCTCTCCTTTTGCACTCTCTCACCACTCTCTTCACCTTTCTTTTACTCTCCATATACTCTGCTTTTCTTATAACACTTCTGCTTTGTAAAAACCTCTCATAAGGTAACTTTTTCTCTTTTATCACACCCTTTACTTCATCATTCCACCAATCACTCCTCTTTCCTCCTGCCCCCACCCTCCTATAACCACAAACTTCTGCCCCACATTCTAATACTGCATGTTTAAAACTCATCTAACCCTCTTCAACCCCCCCCCACTACTCATCTTTGCACTAGCCCACCTTTCTGCTAATAGTTGCTTATATCTCACCCGAACTTCCTCCTCCCTTAGTTTATACACTTTCACTTCCCTCCTGCTTGTTGTTGCCACCTTCCTCTTTTCCCATGTACCTCTTACTCTAACTGTAGCTACAAGTAAATGATGATCTGATATATCAGTTGCCCTTGCCCCTCTATAAACATGTACATCCTGGAGCCTACCATTAACCTTTTATCCACCAATACATAATCTAACAAACTACTTTCATTACGTGCTACATCATACCTTGTGTATTTATTTATCCTCTTTTTCATAAAATATGTATTACTTATTACGAAATCTCTTTCTACACATAGGTCAATAAGGCTCCCCATTTACATTTACCTCTGGCACCCCAAATTTACCTACTACTACCTCCACAACATTTTTACCCACTTTAGCATTGAAATCCTCGACCACAAGTACTCTCACACTTGGTTCAAAACTCCCCACGCATTCACTCAACATTTCCCAAAATCTCTCTCTCTCTCCTCTACACTTCTCTCTTCTCCAGGTGCATATACACTTACTATAACCCACTTTTCACATCCAACCTTTATTTTACTCCACATAATCCTTGAATTAAAACATTTATAGTCCCTCTTTTCCTGCCATATGTTATCCTTCAACATTATTGCTACTCCTTCTTTAGCTCTAACTCTATTTGAAACCCCTGACCTAATCACATTTATTCCTCTCCACTGAAACTTTCCCACCCCTTCAGCTTTGTTTCACTTAAAGCCAGGACATCCAGCTTCTTTTCATTCATAACATCCACAATCATCTCTGTCTTATCATTTGCACAACATCCACGCACATTCAGACTTCCCACTTTGACAATTTTCTCCTTCTTATTCTTTTTAGTAATCTTTACAGGAATAGGGGTTACTAACCCATTGTTCCCGGCATTTTAGTTGACTTTTACAACACGCATGGCTTATGGAGGAAAGATTCTTATTTCACTTCCCCATGGATATAAAAGGAAAAGTAATAAGACCAAGAACTATTAAGGTAAAATCAAAGAAAACTCAGATGAGTGTGTATAAATAAATGTGTATATGTATGTGTAGTGTGACCTAAGTGTAAGTAGAAGTAGCAAGACATACCTGTAATCTTGCATATTTATGAGACAGACAAAAGACACCAGCAATCCTACCATCATGTAAAACAATTACAGGCTTTTGTTCTGCATTCACTTGGCAGGACGATAGTACCTCCCTGGGTGGTTGCTGTCTACCAGCCTATTACATTTATTAAATAATAGCACCAACCACTCCAAAACTATATCCCCACCTGCTTTTAACATTTCTGTCTTTATCCCATCAATCCCAGCTGCCTTACCCCCTTTCATTTTACGTACTGCCTCACGAACTTCCCCCACACTCACAGCTGGCTCTTCCTCACTCCTACAAGATGTTATTCCTCCTTGCCCTATACACAAAATCACAGCTTCCCTATCTTCATCAACATTTAACAATTCCTCAAAATATTCCCTCCATCTTCCCAATACCTCTAACTCTCCATTTAATAATTCTACTCTCCTATTTTTAACTGACAAATCCAATTGTTCTCTAGGCTTCCTTAACTTGTTAATCTCACTCCAAAACCTTTTCTTATTTTTAACAAAATTTGTTAACAGCAACTCACCCACTCTCTCATTTGCTCCTGTTTACATTGCTTCACTACTCTCTTAATCTCTCTCTTTTTCTCCATATACTCTTCTCTTCTTGCATCACTTCTCCTTTGTAAAAACTTCTCATATGCTAACTTTTTCTCCCTTACTACTCTCTTTACATCATCATTGCACCAATCGCTCCTCTTCCCTCCCGCACCCACTTTCCTGTAACCACAAACTTCTGCTGAACACACTGACACTACATTTTTAAGCCTACCCCATACCTCTTCGACCCCATTGCCTATGCTCTCATTAGCCCATCTATCCTCCAATAGTTGTTTGTATCTTACCCTAACTGCCTCCTCTTTTAGTTTATAAACCTTCACCTCTCTCTTACCTGATGCTTCTATTCTCCTTGTATCCCATCTACGTTTTACTCTCAGTGTAGCTACAACTAAAAAGTGATCTGATATATCTGTGGCCCCTCGATAAACATGTACATCCTGAAGTCTACTCGACAGTCTTTTATCTACCAATACATAATCCAACAAACTACTGTCATTTTGCCCTGCATCATATCTTGTATACTTATTTATCCTCTTTTTCTTAAAATATGTATTACCTATAACTAAACCCCTTTCTATACAAAGTTCAGTCAAAGGGATCCCATTATCATTTACACCTGGCACCCCAAACTTACCTACCACACCCTCTCTAAAAGTTTCTCCTAATTTAGCATTCAGGTCCCCTACCACAATTACTCTCTCACTTGGTTCAGAGGTTCCTATACATTCACTTAACATCTCCCAAAATCTCTCTCTCCTCTACATTCCTCTCTTCTCCAGGTGCATACACGCTTATTATGACCCACTTCTCGCATCCAACCTTTACTTTAATCCACATAATCCTTGAATTTACTCATTTATATTCTCTTTTCTCCTTCCATAACCAGTTTACCTTTCAAATAATACAGTATAAAAATTTTCAGCTGTCATGTTTGAGGAGGGGATCTTGTTAGGTGCAGAGACAGACACATCCTTGTTAGTATGTGATGCTGCCTCTCGTCATCAGCCACTCACTGTTGTGGAACGAACTGTAAGTATACTTGTATTACAACCATTTTTTAATTCCATATTTTAGTTTGATTAAAACTTTTAAGAAGGGAAATAATTTACTCAATACAGTTTTTATACCAAAGACAGGACACGGTGAGCTTACCTCTGTTATATTTTCCACCATACTTGCCTTGAAAAACATGTCACAAAACCATTTCATGTTGTAACTTCCTTCAAAATTCTGCTTTTCTACTCCCATCTTTGCAAAATAAAAATGTCTCTATATAAAAATTATTTTATTTTTTTTTATTAACACATTGGCCGATTCCCACCAAGGCAGGGTGGCCCGAAAAAGAAAAACTTTCATCATCACTCATTCCATCACTGTCTTACCAGAGTGGTGCTTTACACTACAGTTATAAAACTGCAACATTAACACCTCAGAAGGAGGTGATGGAGTAAAAGAGGATGAAAGTTTTTGTTTTTCAGGCCACCCTGCCTTGGTGAGAATCGGCCGATATGTTAATAATAAAAAAAAAAATTTATTCATAGACATTTTTATTTTGCAAAGATGGGAGTAGGAAAGCAGAATTTTGAAGTTAGTTACAACATGAAATGGTTTTTCAGGGTAAGTATGGTGGAAAATATAATAGAGTTGAGGTCATTGTGTCCTGTCTTTGGTATTTTTCACATAAACCTTGAAAATTTAGAGTGGTTGTAGCACTTAATACTCCTTCTTGCAACTCAAATCATTGTTCTTAACTCAGATCATTGTTTTACAACTGTGAAAAAACCTGCCAACATTCCTTTATATAGCTATGGTCTCTTTCCTAGTACTGATGGTACTAGGAAATACAGTGGAACCTCAGTACTCAAACAGCTCCGTACTCGAACAATTCGTTATTTAAATGCTTTGTTCGGTAAACAAAATGTTCGGTAGTCGACCATTTGCTTGACCAAACAAACATGACCTGCCAGAACTTCACTCTAAACTATTTCATGTGTCTTTGCATTTTTTTAGTGTTTTGTTTATCTTATTTTTATAAATAAGTCACCATGGGGCCCAAGAGGGTTAGTGATAACAGCCAACCAAAAAGAAAATTTGTTGGGAAAATTTCGTTTTGTACTTGAACAGATCTGCACTCGAACAGCCTTCTGGAACCAATTAAGTTCGAGTGCCAGGGTTCCACTGTATAGCATCATCAGCAGAAAGAAGACAGAGGCAAGGTGGTCAGGAGTGCACAGTTTTAGATAGTATGACTTCTTAGGGCTGATTAGGTCAGCTGTTAGCACATTCTACTGGAAGCTGCACCAGGTCTTTATTTGTTTTCCTATCTTTTTATTTTTATTTTATAAATTTGTGCATTTTTTAACTTCTAGCTTTGTGCTATCCTTTACCATACTTTAGGCCAAAATTTGAATATAAATAGTGGCAGAGATCCGATACCAAAGAAAACAATAGTATCTCGATGAACAGCGTATATTTTGTTAATGTTTTAGTACTCAGTTTGCATCCTGTTGCTGAGTTACGATACTGTAGCACAAACAGTCTTCAGGCCATTGTAATCCTTAAGTCTCAACAGTGCCAGACCCCTAAGCTACTACAACCCTTGAACTCTACGTCTACATATGACCCATGGGTCGTCTTGGTAATAACAACTCAACAAAACCAGCGGTATCAGTTATAAATGGCAAAAAAGTTTCAGATAGATTTCTTCATATTTTTTTAAGTAATATTTTATTTTTTACTTTAGTCATATACAGGGTTGATTTTTATTGTATTTTAAATTTTTTTTATGGTAGAAAATATGGTGCTCATCAAACATCATTAAACGTGAAAAATGCATTGAAGTTTTTTTTTTTAATACACCAGCCATCTCCCACTGAAGTAGGGTGACCCCATAGAAGAAGAAATAATTACACCACCACTGTCTTGCCAGAGGCCCACCAGTACTATGGTTCAGATGCCCCTCCAAACTGCAGATATCCCCACCCCACCTTTGCACTGCCAGCACTGTACTTCCTCCAGGACTCAAGCCTGGCTGACCAGTTTCCCTGGATATCTTCATAAATGTTACTTTGCTCACACTTCAGTAGCATGTCAAGTCATAAAAACCACTTACTATCTAACACTCTCACAGAGGGCTGCTGAATGGCCAGGCCCTTTGCATACAAAACCTTCTCTACTCCCTCCCTATAGATTAGTTATGGGAATCTCATGGCAGTGTGACTTTTCTATTAAATATAATGAAAACACTGAGAACATTGACATTAAATTATTGAGCATTAACAATAGTAACCATTTGTATAATTTCAATATCTGTTGTTACTTTTCTTTGATTTGTTTAAGAATAAACTTTATCAATTTTTATTAACTTCAAATATACTATTACAATTGAAATATACTTGATGTATTTATTTTGGTAGATGTAAATTGTACTCTATTTAATGCTTTTCATATAATTTTAATGTTGCAGAGTCAGGTCTACCTCCATCATTTATTACGACAGTTGTTAAGAAGAAATCTTGGTTACCATGCATGGGAGGTTGCCAGTACGTGCAGAGATTTACCCTACTTTCCTCATGCACTTGAACTCCTGTTACATCAGGTAAGATTCACCATTTTAGAAATATTTTGAAGTTGTTATAGCATTAACCCTCTGACTGTTTTGGGGTAAGGGAGGTTTTGTGGGCGAGGGGCTTGGACTTCCAGCAGGCATGCATGAGTGTGTTCGATAGGAGTGAATGGAGACGAATGGTATTTGGGACCTGATGATCTGTTGGAGTGTGAGCAGGGTAATATTTAGTGAAGGGATTTAGGGAAACCGGTTATTTTTGTATAGCCGGACTTGAGTCTTGGAAATGGGAAGTACAATGTCTGCACTCTAAAGGAGGGGTTTCGGGATGTTAGCACTTTGGAAGGATATGTTGTGTATCTTTATACGTATATGCTTCTAAACTGTTGTGTTTTGAGCACCTCTGCTAAAACAGTGATTATGTGTGAGTGAGGTGAAAGTGTTGAATGATGATGAAAGTACACCTACCATCCAACTTACGACCTGCTTGACTTACGACCACTCGACTTGCGACCGTGTTTTTTATGCCAAATTTCTGGGAAATAAACAACTATTTGTGTTGTACACAGTGTTTATCCTAAACCTTATAGTATAAAATACAGTACTAACAACATAAAAAGTAAAGTAAAACATGAAATACCAAAATAAAACAATAAAATAAAGTCATTACAAAAATGTTTTGTTGATATTCAGTAGTAAAGTTCGACTTACGACCATTTCGACTTGCGACCGGTTTCTCGGAACCGAACTCGGTCGTAAGTCGGATGGTAGGTGTATTTTCTTTTTGGGGATTTTCTTTCTTTTTGGGTCACCCTGCCTTGGTGGGAGACGGCCGACTTGTTAAAAAAAAAAATAAGGATTGATGCACATATAACTCACACATAGAAGAGAGGAGCTTACGACAACGTTTTGGTCCGACTTGGACCATTTACAAAGTCAGACTAATGAAAAGGAGAGCAGGATGGGTATATATAGGCAGGAGGTGGTAGTAGTAATAGTAGTAGTAGTGGAGGTGGAAGGAAGTAGTAGTGGGGAAGGTAGTAAGGAGGAGGAGGAGCCAGTCAAATACTAAGAAAGCAGAGCACTGCAAGGGAGCTAGGTGCCCACAGAGGGTAAGAGCAAGAACACGAAGAGGGGGAAAATAAACAAACAAATAATGAAGGAACACATACACAAGGCAGAAGAAAGACAACCCACTCACGGTATTGTGCCTTTTTGTTATTTATAAGAAAGATTGCTTTGACTCTCAGGCTTATTCTCTCTCATTTTCATTTATTAATTTGACTGAAATTATCAGTTGAATGATTTTACAGGTACTTGAGGAGGAAGCCTCCAGCAAAGACCCACTGCCAGATTGTTTACTCCCGAGAGTAGTGGAATTCATCCGAGAGTTTCCTGTGTACCTGCAGACAGTAGTGCAGTGTGCCCGCAAAACAGAGTTGGCATTGTGGCGATACCTCTTTTCTGTTGCTGGCAGTCCTAAACATCTTTTTATCAAAGCTCTTGAGGAATCACAACTAGAGACTGCAGCATCCTACCTTATTATTTTGCAGGTAGACTGTAATAATTTTTTGTAAAACTCATACCAGAATTATTGACTAATCAGAGCATGCATTTCCATTTATTTTATTTTTCTCCATTCGGAGGATTTATGTACTTTGTATGTACACTCTGAACAGTATAATCCTGAAGTTCAGCTTAAGTGTTTCATCATTGTAAATCAGCAAAGAAACTGTTTTTTTGGTATGTGTCATTATTTATAACTTATTTACATGTACTTTAATTGTCTTTTATTGTTTCTTTAACAAAATTTTTGGCATTGATTTTTTTTAACATGTCAGCCATTTCCCACAGTGGCAGGGTGACCCAAAAAGAAAGCAAAACCAAAAAAGAAAGAAAATCTTTTATTATCATTCAACGCTTTAACCATCACTTATACGTAATCACAGTCTTTGCAGAGGCGCTCAGGTATGGCAGTTTAGATGTCCTTCCAAACTGCCAATATCCCAAACCCCTCCTTTAAAGTGCAGGCATTGTACTTCCCATTTCCAGGACTCAAGTCCATCTAACTGATTTCCCTTAACATTTCAAGCTCACTTACAAAAATTAAAATATTTTAGGAGAGTGATAGACTAGAGCTATCCGAGGAAGTTTGTCATTCTTTTGCATGGAAAATTCAGCCTTGCAAGGTGGATGCTCTAACAAGATTTTTAGTTTTACTTTTTCTTCCTTTTATGATTCCCAATTAGGTTCATTTCTGGTATATGCTAATCTCCTTAACTTTCCTGCTTGTTTATTTAATCAGTCACCTTTATAGGCATCTCTTACTTTACACAAAATTTTTATGCACTATGTCTGATGGCCCTATATCTTACAGAAATTTGTTCTGTGCTGGGTAAACTACCCAATTGGTTTGGATGCACTCTTTAGGGCATGGTTTAAATTAGCATTACAAATGGCTTTGTCCTAGCTCATATTCACTTAAGTCTTTATTTCCTGCCTATGCAGAATTTAGCCTGTATGAAATTGGTCCATACTTTTACTGGCTGTGTTTGCAAAGTGCTGAAACACTATGGTAAACATAAGTGGTTCTTAGAGAGACAGAATTGTTTTCTCTCTCATCATTTTGGTACAGACTGCATTTTGAGACTGCTTCACCACAGATCCTTTTTATTATTTTTTTTTATTATCACACTGGCCGATTCCCACCAAGGCAGGGTGGCCCGAAAAAGAAAAACTTTCACCATCATTCACTCCATCACTGTCTTGCCAGAAGGGTGCTTTACACTACAGTTTTTAAACTGCAACATTAACACCCCTCCTTCAGAGTGCAGGCACTGTACTTCACCACAGATCCTTTTTCTCAATTTATATACATACATTCATAATGCCTTTGCTGAATGACACCTTGTTATATCTGTCTTTTTCAGTCTAGAGGAGGCATATGATACCACACTGCTTCTGTAATTGAAGAGAGTGGGCTGCAGAGGCTATGATTCCCAGGACCATTAATGGATATTGGCAGTTTGGAGGGATTTCTAAACTGTCATATTTGAGTGCATCTGCAAAGACAGTTATTATGTATGAGTGATGGTAAAAGTGTTGATTCATGATGAAAGTTTTTCATTCTTTTTGGGTCACCCTGCCTCGGAGGGAAATGGCCAACGTGTTGAAAAAAAAATACATGTATTCCACAATGGTATGTTCAGAAACAATTTGTTCCTAATTTCCATAGAATTTAGTCTTTTCTGTTTTTGGACGGTTTTGCCATAGCTTGTACTGACATAGTCATCTGGGCATTTTTGATGGCTTCAAGTTCTCCCTCTCTAAAACAAATTCTATTATTTTGTCACAGTGCAAAGTTATTCCCTCTTGCTGTCCCTACATGTCTCTTTTATTACTGGTTATCACCCTCCATTTCGATAAATAAATAACAAAAAGGCACAATACCGTGACTGGAACGATACACAAATAACCCGCACATAAAAGACAGAAGCTTACGACGACGTTTCGGTCCGACTTGGACCATTGACAAAGTCACACTAACAGAGGAGGAGCAGGACGGCTATATATAGGCAGGAAGAGGTGGAGGTAGTAGTAGTGGTAGTAGTAGTAGTAGTAGTAGTACAAGAATTGTATATAATACCGACAGGATGAAATGACACATGCACAACACCCGGGCATCCCCACCGTAGACGTTTCGCCATCAGCCAGCCACTGGATGGCGAAACGTCCATAACAAAGACAACCAGACGCCGCACATGTGTCTAATTCATCAGTAGATGTAGTAGAAGAAGAAGAGGTAGTAGTAGTGGTAGTGGTAGAAGTGGGAAATAAGGAAGACGAGCCAGTCAAATACAAAGGAAGGGGAGCACTGCAAGAGAGCTAGAAACCCACAGAGGGAGAGCAAGCGCACCGAGGTGCGTGAAAGGGGAAGTGGAGAAATAAAATAAAGAAGGAACAGAAACACGAGACAGGAGAGAGAAAGACAACCCAGAGGAGAAAAGGAGAGAGGAAAGGGGAAGAGGAAGAAGAAAAAGAAGAGAAGAAGAAGAAAAAATGAGGATTCAGGTTAAGTCACGGTGTTCTGAAGTTTGGAGCATTTTACAATGTATGGGAGAGGAAGGCATCTACAGAGACGAAGCAGGGCTAAGGTTCATACAAGGAAAGTTGTGTATAAGAGAGGATTCAACTAAACGCGACTGTTCGAGTTGGAAGTAGGGAAGACAGTTTTAGCAGAAGAACCAGTCAATAGGATGGCTATGATCTCTGACGTGACAGAAAAGAGCATTGTTAGTGTCGGCAAGCCTAACACTATTTTTGTGCTCCCTAAGTCTGTCAGAAAGAGATCGACCAGTTTTCTCCAAAGTATTGAAGAGGACAGGAGGAGCAAGAAATAGAGTAGACACCAGGAACATCTGTAGAGGGAGGAGAGGTATGAACGAGATTAGTGCGAAGAGTGTTAGTCTGGCGGAAGGTAAGCTTGATGTCTAAGGACGGAGAGAATTGTTGAGATAGAAAGACCGGAAATGTAGGAAGGCAGAGGATAGAAGAGTTCCCATGAGTAGAGAGTTTGGGAGAGAAGAAATTGCGTTTAGCACGTGAGAGGGCAGAGTCTATGAAATGGGAAGGGTAGCCAAGACGGGAGAACGAATTATAAAGAGTGGAAATTTCTGCTGGAAGGAACTGAGGATCACAGATGTGAGGGCACGGAGAAAGAGGGAGATAAGAACACTTTTCTTGACAGGGGAAGCATGATAGGAAAAGTAGTGAATGTACATGCCACTGTGCATAGGTTTACGGTAAACGGAAAAGGAAAAACCTGTATCTGAGCGGTGGACATGGACATCAAGGAAAGGAAGTAAGGAATAGATTCCCATTCAGTTTTAAACTTAATGGAAGGGGCAAGATTGTTAAGAGCTTCAAGAAAAGGTTGGAAGAGACTGGAGTCATGAGGCCACAGAGCAAAGATGTCATCCACATAGCGGAGCCAGAGTGAAGGTTGCACATCGAGGGTAGGAAGAAGAACAGTCTCGAAGTATTCCATGTAAAGATTAGCAAGGACAGGAGAGAGAGGAGAGCCCATAGCGACACCGAAGGTTTGGGAATAATATTTCCCTTGGAAGGAAAAGGAGTTAGAGTCCACACAGAGGCGGATCAGATCAAGAAAGACATCAGTGGGGATAGGGAGATGAAGAAACCCTTCATGGGCCTTCTCTCTAAGGAAATCAAGGACATCATCAAGAGGGACATTGGTGAAGAGGGACTCAAACGTCAAGACTAAGCATCTTACAGGTTGGGAGAGAGCGAACCCGTTCAATGAAGTCTTGAGAGTGACGGAGGTGGGCAGGAGAAAAAGTACCAAGAAAGGGAGTGAGGGTTTTGGCCAGCCAAGAAGCAAGAGAATAAGAGACAGAACCTCTAGAGGATATGATAGGACGAAGAGGAATATCAGGTTTATGAGTTTTGGGAAGGCCATAGAAATAGGGAAGAGAGGGACAGATGACACGAAACCGTTGAACAAGGTCAAAGTCAGGAGGACAGAGGTCGGAGAGAGTCCTTAGTTTTTTGTTGAAAGTTCTCTTGATGCGATCAAGAGGGTTGGAAACGAGAGGAGTGTAGGTGCGTGAGTCAGAGAGCAAGACATCAGCTTTACGGAGGTAATCCTCGCGATCAAGGATAACTACCGAATTACCTTTGTCAGAAGATAGTATGACAATGTTAGTGTTAGATTTAAGAGAAGAAAGGGCAAGTTGGTAACGGCGTGGAAGGTGGTGATTCTTGGAAAACAAACTAACAAGAGCAGGAAGGAGAGCACCACGAAAGTGGACAAGTCAGGAAGATTACGGAAGCGAGATTGACGAAAGAATCAAAGAGCTAATCAGGGAAATACCAGCGCGAGGAGTAGGCGAAGTGGCAAAGGAAAGACCAAAACCAAGAAGTTCAAGCTCATACTGAGAGAGTGAGACAGAAGACAGATTAGTAACACAGTCAGTGAGGGAGAATTTAGACCAAGGGCTAGCTGAGATGAGACGTTGAAGTTTATTATGTAGTTTGGAAGAATGAATTTGCGCATTCAGGCGAGCAGTGTCAAAGGCAATGGTAGAGAGAAGGTTACAGAGATCCTGTGGTAGAGCCGCAAAGAGAGCACGTTGACGTTGACGGAGAGTAAAGAAGGCATCTTCAACCTTCTGTCCTCCTGACTTTGACCTTGTTCAACGGTTTCGTGTCATCTGTCCCTCTCTTCCCTATTTCTATGGCCTTCCCAAAACTCATAAACCTGATATTCCTCTTCGTCCTATCATATCCTCTAGAGGTTCTGTCTCTTATTCTCTTGCTTCTTGGCTGGCCAAAACCCTCACTCCCTTTCTTGGTACTTTTTCTCCTGCCCACCTCCGTCACTCTCAAGACTTCATTGAACGGGTTCGCTCTCTCCCAACCTGTAAGATGCTTAGTCTTGACGTTGAGTCCCTCTTCACCAATGTCCCTCTTGATGATGTCCTTGATTTCCTTAGAGAGAAGGCCCATGAAGGGTTTCTTCATCTCCCTATCC